CAGCCCCAAGTAGCTATGATTACAGGTGTTCACCACCACACACCACTTCGCTAGAACTTTTAGCTAGAAAAGTTTTAAATGAGTTAGAAAACTGTGCCTATGTTTTTCAAATGTGCATGTATGAAAGTTTCATGGGAGCCACACTTGCATTATTTGGATAACAAAACCACCTAATGATATAACATTTTCAAATATCCAATTTTAAAATATTTCTCTATTGCATGTTTCTTTTAAAAAGCAATTTCTTTATCTCTCCTTATTAACATCACATTTTTATCTTGAAGTTATAGACTGTGTGTGGATTTGTCTTAATCTGATAGCTAACATTCTTCCTATTGTCATAGAAAAAGACAACAAATTGCTAATAACTGTCATCATGACAAAAAAGGATTCATATTTTGAGGGCTGCGGATGCAGCTCTGTGATATAGCACTTGCCTAACATATACGTGATGCTGAGTTTGAACCCTAGTACCCCACAAAATCATACATTTTCAAGTTTAACAACACTTAAGTCCTCTGTTCAAGATCATCTGTGAACCTCAAAATATTCTGAGCGCTGCCCATATCATCATAAGTGCACATAAGTGCTGTAAATATTCTGCTATATTTTGATTTATAAAATTTATCAATATAACCACATCAGTGACTTTCCAAATCATGCTCTACAGTTCTGGCCCCAGTGTCTCTGCTGCCACGGCTTCTCTATGAATGGCGTGATGAAGGTTTTACATGTGAGCCTAGCTGTTGTACTTAACTGGGAACTCTTCTTCTACCCCCTTCAAAACAGCCACTCCTATGACCTTACTTAACACAGTTCTTCCAGAAAACATTGTTTTCATTAAAGATGCAATGTATTATTAAAAATGTATCCCTCCCAGTATAGGCTTCCTTAGTTACACTCAGGAAAAAGCAATTTTTTGTGTACTTCATTATTGAAACAGAGTATAGCCAGTATAATAATCTAAGGAACAATGGAGACATCTGTATTTTCATTCAGTATATAAGAAATCTCTCACATGGCATAATCTGCACTAATATTATTCTCTGGTATTATACAGCTATATATACAGTTATCCCTTTATATTCCAAGGGATTGATTCCAAGATACCCCCTAAGGTACCAAAATCCATGGAAGCTCAAGTACTATATAAAATGGTATCATATTTGCATGTGACCCATGTTCATTTTCCCATGTGCTTCGAATCATATCTTGTTTACTTATAATACCAAGTACAATGTAAATGCTATGCAAATAGATTATTAAAAGAACAGTGATAAGGAAAAATACTGTACATATTCTTTAATAAAACAATATTTTTCCTGAATATTTTCTACTTGTAGTTAGTTTAATCTGTGGATGCAAAACCCAAAAATGTGTGCTGACCAAAGAATGCATCTTAGCCTGTCATCATTTTGGTCTTCATGTAGTATTTCTATTATTCTGGATGAAAGCAGGAACACAATTATTTCTCTCAAAGGCATGTTTTTTGCTGTTAAGAAACCTAAAAGAGAGTCTCTAAACACAATATTGAGCAAAATGTTCTAAAGAACTAAATTGAGCATTGCATGTCTTTAAACCTCACCAGAAATGTAGGATTTGTCTTTATTTTCCCAGTCCTTTGTTTCTAGAGGTCTTCAGATCTTAAATACTTTTAACCAGTATCTCCAGGCATACTTAGGATGAGGCTATCACTAGTAACAATGAGTGTGAATCCATGTTTTAAATAGCCTTATTGTAACTTTTGAATTTTGACTGACTTATCATCAGGTCTCATTGCAATTCCCTTTACTTCATGAAAGCAGCAGACAGCCAGCTTTTTTCAGAAGCAGGAAATGTGTCATCTCTGCTTTTTCTTACTAATGGGAAAAGGTTGTATCCTCAATTTATGAGTTTTAGGGTTGAAATGTTTTTAATCTAATTTAGTTAAAACTAGAGTGCATCATGTATAAATCTACCAAAGCGGGCAGGCTGCAGTTCATCACAGTCTGTTAGTGGAAACAAGCTGCTGTCAGTCCCTCCGTGGGGAAGAATGCTCATGGGCTCTTCATTTAGCCAATGGGGTTTTTAACCCCTGACTGCCTGACAGAGGGATCCAATATAGGTGCCATAATCAATATATATTTGCAAAAGTGATTTCTATTTTCAGATAGTAAATAAGTGAAAACAGAAATTCTAGTATTTTTTTTCACTTGCCGTCTGGGGACCCTCTACCCCTCTTTGGAGAACACCGATTTCACTGGGTAAGCTGGAGATTCACTACTGCAGTGGACGTCATTTGGCAACTCTCAGCTTCCTTTCCCCACCAACATTATCCTGGTCTTTTTTGGACAGTTCCCAGACTGGGCCCTCACTGCTTAAGCAGCCAATTGCCCCAGGCCAGAGTGATCACTTTGGAGGTATCCAGAAACCCAAAGTGGGCTTTAAAAAAGTATATCCTAGAGCTGGTAATGGCAGCAAATGCCTGTAATTCTAACACTCTAGGAGATAGGAGGGTTTCAAGTTCTAGCACATACTGAGCAACTTAGCAGCTGAGAGAGATCCTGTCTCAAAATTTTAAAAACTTTAAAAGGGCTAGGAATATAGCTCAGTCTCTGGGTTCAACCTCCAGTAATGGAAAAAAAGTCTATCAATCAATCTATCATCTATCTATTTATCTAGCTATCTCTTAGGGCTATTGTAGCTGCTCTGTGCTTCATCTAGGTGAGGCCAAAGATCAGCCCTGCAGTCAGCTTACCGCTGTAAGGGCACAGGCTGAGCTCCCAGGAGCCACCCTGCAGAAGAGAGATAGAAAGAGACTGCTGACAGCAGAAGCAAACAATGGCAAGAAATTGATCCTTGATGACCTTGACATCCTGGATGAAGACACTAAATCCAGCCCTATGCCTGGACTTCTCAGGGATGCAGGTTGATAAATTCCACTTAATTGTACAGTCATTTAAGTTGGCTGCTCTGTCACATACAACAAATGCCCCTCCCTGATATAGCTGTCCACTCTCTCATGCAGTTTGTTTTGTTGCTATTTTTGTTTTGTTTACTATAGAGTTAACCATACTCTGAATCAAGAAAACTATGTAAGTGTTAAACATTGTATAATATGTAATAAAATGTGAAGTTGTAAAGCTGTGTAACCAGCTATATAACTTTGAAAAATACATAACTTTTTCCAAGCTTCAGTTTTCTCATTTGAAAATGGAAGCCATAAAAAAATACCTTTTAGTTTGTTGTGACAATTAAGTAGAGCAAGATATGCTGGATGGCTCTCACGGTACCAGCTGCAATTTAGATGCAAAGCAGATCAATGAAATAATGATGGCTACCATTTATAGAGGCCTATGCCTGCCAGAAACTTTTTGTAATGTATCTATTTAAATTTCACGACCTCCTGAAGGGCATTATCACTGGCATTTGTAAGATACAGAAATCTAAGTTCCAAGAGTTCAAGTAATTTGATGAAGGTCACAGCTGGTAAATGGCAGTGACAGGATTGAAAGCCAGGTCGGTTTGACCTCCAACCTCATGTTCTTCCTCTATGCCAAATGGTTGTCAGAAAAGGTGCTAGAGATGCAGTGAAACTTGAGTTCTACGAAGAACAGAATTCCAGTAGACAAACAGGAAGGGAGGAGTACCAGCTTTGAGGGAGTGCAGTGCTGCACAAGGGATGCCAAGTACAGCGGTGCCTCAACATATGATTTTAGGGAAGGTGGCTGCTTTTGTGTTTGTGTAGAGAAGATAGCCTCGGTTGTTTGTCACCTGATGTGGAGTTTGAATGGAAGCAAAATTCTGTCCACTGCTTTTGTTGTGAATCAAATTGTTTGGGAACAGAAGTGTTTATGAACCAAGGTATTACTATTGTGAATTTCCAGAAGGCAGAAGCAAAACTTTGTATTTCACAATTCCCTTCTTCAACCCTAGCACAGTGATTGGGACAGAGTATGTGGTGTGTGTGTTCCATACCAAGGAGCAGGAGGGAGCTAACTGATGAGTGTCAAAGCCCTAGGCTGTGTCACTCCCACCCCAAGTTTAGGGAGCATGTCTACCCCAAGAAGCCTGCGTTTTCTGCTTTTCCACACAGTGGGGTTTATATAAGGCTGCAACTCTAAAGCCTTGGTATCATTCCAGCTGTCACCAGGAACAAAGGTGACATGATGCTCTCCATCGTGGCGACTCCACTGGCTGTCTCAATGGATTCTGAACTTGCATGGGGGTTGTGGGCATTTTGAAGTACCTTGGAACCGAAACAGTAGACACTCAAACTGTGGTAGAAGAGTGAATATGACCAGTTGAGAGGACAATGTGAAGACACCTCTGATCTGAACAGGGGAGTGTGTTGAAGTAGATGAGGTGAGGATAGAGGAAAGTTTGCACTTGATGTGGGAGAAGAGCATTAAAATTTTCTCAGTTGAAGAAGATAGTGTTTAAACCAGGTAGCGAGAGAATACTGCAATGTATTGCAGTAGAGACAGAAAAGGAGGGGGCAACCGGAGAGAAACCTGGGTGGCTGCCAGCATTTCTGGGTGACAGGATGAAGGTCTGGCATGGGCAAGGGGCCATGAATGGGAGCTAAGGGATGCATGCACGTGATCTCGGGGCGGGGGGGGGGGGGTCTACAACCAGGAGCTGAAAGAAGCAACCACTGGAGGGAGTAGACGGCCGGCCCCTGAGCTTGGCAGAAAGCAGGGCTCAGCCTTGGGCATATTACATCTGAAAGGGTAATTCGTTCTCAGCACCAGCGACAAGGGAGTCCTGGCAGGAAACAGGCAGCAAGTTAGCTGGGTCAGACAGGGAACCCAGTTTTGAAGGCCACTGGGAAAAAGTTGGAAGAGATGGGAGGCATGATCGCGGAGGCTACCTGAGAAGCCAGAGTGGGATCAGGAACAAGGGACGGGGGTGTCCACTCCTGGGGCTGAGAAATCAGGAAAAGGCTTCTGCCAAACGCTGGGCTCGGGATCGTCTGAGCAGAGCAGGGCAGCTGCACCCTCTCAAGAAATCCAGTTGAACCCAAAGCAGGCGTCCCCGCGCTCCGCCTGCAGTAACACCCTCGAACCAGGGCCCCCCTTTTGCACCTCCGCCTTCTCCCTTTCGTTTTACGGTAGGCGGAAGATGGAGGGTTCCGCTGCTCAGCTCCCGGGGAGCCGGGTCCTCCAGGTTCGCATCCCAGCCCCAGCCCGGGCCCCGCGGTACCGCCCACCTGGCCACAGCCGCAGCCTACGCCGCTGCCACCCGGGCCGCGGCAGGCCGGCCGCCCCTCCCGCGGTGGGGTTGCCCGTTCCCTCCTCCGTCTTTGTTGCTGTGGCCCCCCCTCCCTTCCTCCAGCGGGCCTGAGGGCTCGGGGCTGGGGCTGGGCACCGGGACCCACGGGGGCGGAGGAGGGAGGCGAGTGGAGCGCGGGGTCGCTGCTGCAGAGGGGAGGAGAATGGGAGGAGCTGGGGCCCGGCGGGCCGGGAAGGAGGGGTCTTAAGGGGCGGCGAGCCCAGGTCGGGTTTCCTCTTAGGCTCACGGACTGCCTTCCTCGCACTCCGCACCCCGCTCGCCGCGCCGCCCTGCCCGCGCCCTCGGAGCCGCCGGACACGGTGAGCGGGACGGGACCTTCCCTGCGGCCAGCCCGGAGGGGGGAACGAGCCGCGACCCCAAAGTTTCCCGGGCCGGCGCCTTCAGTCTCGCTCTTTTCTCTCCCGCAGATGTGGAGACGCTGGCTCGCTCTCGCGCTCGCGCTGGTGGCGGTCGCCTGGGTCCGCGCCGAGGTGGGTGAGGAGAGAGGGTCCGGGCGGCCCGGGCGGAACCGGGGGTTTCCGCTCTCGGGAGGAGCGGGGTGGGGCTCGGGCGGTCGGGTCCGCGCAGAAACGCTGTTTACCAAACTTAATCCGCAAACCCCGAGTGGTGGGTCGGCCCTCCGCGGCTGCGTGCGGAGGGAGGGTGCAGACGGGACCCGGACGGGACGGGGCGGAGGCGGCGACCCGGGAGAGCAGCCGCCGAGTTCAAAAAGGCGCCTTGAGTTCTTTGCTCAAAGGAAATTGAGAGGAGTTAGGGACTTTTCCAAGTCTGTCTCCTCGAGGAGTGGGGGTGGAGGAATAGGGAGAGTCTTCTTTGGGCCAAAATAGATTTACTTTTCTCTGATAAGATGAAATTATGATGTCCTGAAATTTGTGTTCTTCTTTGTAAAGTGCTCTGGGATTTTTGTGTTATTATCTGGGCCATGTAACGGCCTCTTAAATCTAAATTTCCCCTTAAGCTCATGTTGCCCAAGTGTGAGATCCATGGCTCTGGTCTTTGGGGGCTCTGCAGTTTCCAGTTAAAGCATTTCAGCGCTTTTTTTTATTATTATTATTGGTAATGTTTTCTTTTCAACTCCAGTGACCTTCCTGAGACACTACAAACAAACCAACAAAACCTTCGCTCACAAGCCCCTCCATTAACTCCAAGGTTTATGGACAGAAAATAAGCAATTCTAAATTCCCTAGGCTCTAGTCTCCAGAAAAGTGAGGTCAGAAACTAAACATTTGATAATTATGGCAGGAAATGTGGAAAGAATTAAAAAGCATGAGGGAGAAGAAATGGAATGCACATTACAAAAGAAATAGCTCCCTGGTGGGTGGTTTATCCTCCCTCTTTGAATTTTTTTTTTTTTTCATATCACAGTTTCGACCCTCCGTTGGCATCACAGCTTGACTGGGCCCCAGAATTTTTAAACAAATACCAAGTTTTCACGATTAAAAAAAATACACATTGTACCAAAGTCTTGTTTAATTTCCTACACTATGGATTAAGGTAAAAATACAAACTAGTTGTACAATGAAATAAAAATAGCTAATATTTGTTAGATATTGACTATGTGTGGTAGTAAAGCTCCATGTTTGTGATAGAGAAACTGAGTTAGAGAAGTTCATGTTCCTTATCAGATGTCCTCAGCTGTTAATGCAGGGACAGGATCTGAACCTAACAGTTTGGCTCCAGACACCAGGCTTTTCATCTCTACCCCAACCCACTTTCGAGCGGGAACCATTAGCACTTACCAAGTATTCTGTACACTAGACTTTCACTGTGTATGTTGCCTGCATCTTTTCTTTGAAATTTCCTCGAACCCTATTAGGTAGGTTTATGATTGCCATTTTACAGAGGAGGGAACAGATGTAAGGAGAGCAGGTACCTTGCCCAAGGTCATACACCTGGGTAGTTCTCAAGAGGGATCTGAACCTAGCTGCCCCTGCCTTTGGAGCCCATCTTGCACTCCAGGCCAGCTTCTTGCATCCGTTTTGATTCCCAGAGTTTCAATTTGAGGAACTATCCTCCTTTGCTGGTAGATTTAGCCCCGGTTAAGGAACACCTTCCACCCCCTGGTGTGGCCCTCAGAGACAGCTGCAGTTCAGTGATGGATGAGGTGAATCTCTGGTTAGTTTTGCTGCAGGCTTAAGAATTGCTGGCTAGTGTGTGATTCAGCTCTGTGACCTGGAATGCAAATGTGAGATGCAAGGAGATTGTGGGTTCACTCACCGCAGGTCTGTGTAGCCCAAGGTCTGGGATCTGTTTTAGGAAGCCTGGACTACACATCAGCCTCCCCATCCTTGTCTGCATTGCAGGGAAAGTTGAGCCCTGGAAGGAAGTTCTTCTGGCAGCAGTTTCCTGCTGGAGGTAGAAGAGCATCCAGAGCTCTCAGATTCCCAGGCAAAACCTATAGGGAGAGGAAAAAACGAGAAGTGCTGAGGCGTGAAAATCAAGGGAGTTGGTGCAGAAGGAGACTGTGAAGCCAGGACATGGTTACAGTGAAGAGTGAGGGGTAGGCATGAGCTAGGTTGACTCGAGTTTATTAAGAATTATTGTCTTTTAGTCAGTCCAACCTCTGATGTCTGGCACAGTTGGCAAGTTTTTCATCCATGTGTTAATAATAAATTCTCAGTTATTAATGAAAAGGTACTCTCCATAGGAGATTTGTGATTTGAATTTATTTGAAGCATTATAACTTCTAGTTAATGACACTAGCTGTGGAAGTTTTTTTCTTGTTAAATATAAAGTCAGCAAACACAATATTTATAGTCTTTATTGGCATGAGTATTTTAGTAAACATTCAAGCAGCTAAACTTGTGCAAATACTGTTGAACTTTTAAAAATGAAATTGAGAAAATAAAGTGAGGTTTTGTGATGCTTTTGCTTTAATATGGACACAGATTTAATTCAACATTTGAAAAATAATGTGATTGATTTACAAATCATGTTGTAAGGCCAAAGCTTGTGAAGTAAACATTCAGAATCAGGTGTTCGAGCTTAGGGAACAGTGGCTATCATCCCTGTTAATGCCAATCTAGGTAAATCCTATTCTGTTAGATTGGAGAAACTTAACCAGTCTCATACAGAAAAATGTTACATTGTCTTTTAGTGTTTTCCGTGGTCTCTTATTTGGCACTTTAGAGTTGTTTTTTGATTTCTTCCATTCTTCCCTACTTCCAGCCTCCATCTACCTGCACACATACCATGCACTTTTAGAGTCTGCCTGGAAGAGGGTGTTGGGGAAGCACAGGGCTCCGCAGGTGCCTGTATTGGCATCTGACTAAACTAAGCATAGGAGGATCAGCACCAGAGGGAGGGCTTGACAATTCCACAGGACCTGCTGTTCCCTCTCCCACTGGGAATCACTGCAGTACCTTGAGATGTGTTGGTGAGGGAAGTATGATGTGGAGAGCCCAGTTGTTAGTTTGTGTGCCTCTCAAGTCTCAGTGAATCTGTGCCTCTTAACACGCCAGGCTGGATGGGGATTCTGTGGCCCAGCTGCCTGCTTTTTGGGGACAGCCTTGGCAAACTCTCCACCACTTCCCTGCTTGCTCTCCTGAGGTAGATGTCTTTGTTTTCATTCCCAGCATTCCAAGTCTGGAAATTCATTTTTATAAGTCACATGTACAGGGGATATATTTACAAATCAGATCACTCATTCCAGTAAGGGATCTACACTTGACCCATGAACTGTGAGTACGTCACCTAAGGGAAGAACAAGGAAAGCAATTATAGTTCTATAGACAGACACACTTCACTTAGCCCTAGGCATGCCATTCTAGAAGATTATCAGAAACCACACTGATTAACCTCTTTATACCCTGCTATCTGCATACTTAACCATCAGGAGTTTTACTGGCTGATTTGGGAGTGCCTCTACATCCCCCCCCCCCCCGCAACTATTGAGGATGAACCCAGGGCCTTGCATATTAGGCAAGCACTCTACCAAAGGACTTTTTTTTTTTTTAGATGGAATCTCACCAGGTAACTCAGACTTCCTTCAAATTTGGCAGTACTCCTGCCTCAGCCTCCTTAGTAGCTGGGATTACAGGTGTATACCACCACTATGCCTGGCCCCAGAATTCTTTAGAATTGTTCTAATGGTAGACTCGTGGCCTAGAGTGAAACACATCTGCCAACTGCTTCTTGGAGCTTTGTATATTAGCCACTGAAATGATCTCTTATTTATCTTTTGGCAAGTAAACTATTTGCTGTGGTTCTAAAGACCATTGTTGGAAACTGGTATGTTGATATATAGCAGGGCTACTGCTGAATAGCCAAAACAGATGGGCAAGTACCTGGCTGTTATAATTCCTTTAAAAGTCTCTAGATCAGGTGACAGAATGCAAGAATCAATTCTCAGGCCCACAGGAGCAAGCTGTGAGGAGGAGCATGAGGGGAGCAGATCAGGGTCATGGTGTAGATGAATATAATGACCCCAGAGGAAATGTCCCAAAGAAGAAATTAGTTAGGCAGAACGACACAAGCTTCCATGGAACAAAAAGTAAAGAATGAGTTGTCAATACCAGTGGTCACATGTAAGAATTGAAAATACCATGGTTTCTTTTTCCTATACCTCTTCAAATAACTGGACATCCAACAAAACACTTGTAACAGACATACATTTTTATTGGCTTAGTAATGCCAGATACTAGCAGAACTGCCATACACTTGTCATTCCAGATTCTTGGGAGATTGAGACAGGAGGGTCATTTAAGCACACATGTTGGAGATGTGTGGTAACATAGTAAGAGCCCATCTCAATACCAAAACCATGGGATTGAAAAACAAAACTAAGATTGTTCATTTTGTAACCCAGCTGATTAATGTCCTTGGAGGTCACATGCATACTTTTCTCCAAGGTACCCAATTTTGACACCAGTGGCTTTGGTGAGGGTGCTTTCTCCAAGAGTGAGCCATTGACAGTACAGGACTTGCCTTCACCATGTCTGCCAGGTAGCATTCTCTGCTGCAGGTCAAGCACGCCCCGTACACAAGGCAGAATCACCAATGAAGTGTCAAACATGGTCACCTCCCTTGGTTTGCTTACAATCTGGGGGCAGCCAGGTGTTTTAAGTGGTGGCAGCTAACAGTTTGTAATAGCGAAAACTTGGAAACAGCCCAAATGCCCATCAACTGGAGATTGGATAAAGAAAATGTGGTTTTTTAATAAAATGGAGTACTACTGAGCCATAAAAAATGAGAAATTAGAGACATTTGTAACTAAGTGGATGCACATTGAGGCAATACTCTTAAGTGAAATAAATAGAACACATGTATAAATACCAAATAGTTTCTCTGGTGTGAGAAACTGAAAGTATAAATAAGGACTAAATGTATAATAGGTAATGTGAAATTGGAAGAAAA